CATGTTGGTCACGTTACGTTATGATAACTTTGATGAAACGAACAGTAATTGGTGACTTTGTGCATATTCTCAAAACTTAGTTCCTGCAAAAAAATAACAGTAAATTAGATGCGAGCTATGATTTGAAAACAGAACTTGGGTGATGTGTGGGTTATTTGTGTGGACTCGGAAGATATGATCACCACATACAAGTTCTCAAAGAAAATGATAAGCTAGGTAAGGACGGTTTATTTAACACACCACCCATCCATGCAGTAGTGAGATTCCCTTTGATGGCTGTGCACGTATCAATGAAAAATTAAAATGTGCAAAGATGTTTCGGAGTGCTATTTTAGTCAAGAAATTATACAAAAATTGTGTTTCTTGACAAGTGAGAGGCAGAACAAGAACGAGAGACCATGAGGTATATGACATGATCACATAGTTAACAAAAAATATTAGAATTTGTAGGTGGTGATCACGTCTCCCGGATTAGACACCTGCTGGATCGAGCACTAATGGGGGGGGGGAGGAATGAGAGAAGGGTGGTGCTGAGAGACAACTCAGCGATAAGGAGAGACACAACCAAACTCTAAGAAGGCCTGACCCTAACGAGACAGAATGACAGGCAGCGCTAACGCCCCCATACACACTCTTCACATTTTCAAATGTTATTTGGTCATCAGGCAGAAAGATGTTTTCCACGTTACGTTAGGTAATGATGATATAACATGATACAAGAACTAAACAAGCGTGCAGTAATATTTTATTTGTGTTTGGAATGTAATGGCTAAACATGGTTCACATTTCAATAATGTTATTTGGACATCAGACAGAAAGTTGATTTCCACGTTATGTTACCAAGTGTAGGGGGAGGGGGGGTATGCAGGAGCGGGTATGGTGTGGGATATTGTGGTCATTAACCCAGTCATGCCATAGACAGACAAAAAGAGGCACACCGCTGGGCAGCGCTAACGCCCCATAAACACGCTTCACATTTTCAAATGTTATTTGGTCATCAAACAGAAAGATGTTTTCCACGTTACGGTTACATAATGATGATAAAACGTAATACAAGAACCTTCAATTCAAGCCGATAAGGGTTTTGGAAGGGGAGTTGGGGTAGGGGTAGCGGTGGATGGGGGTGGGGATAGCGGTGGATGGGGGTGGGGGTAGCGGTGGATGGGGGTGGGGGTAGCGGTGGATGGGGGTAGGGGTAGCGGTGGATGGGGGTAGGGGTAGCGGTGGATGGGGTAGGGGTATCGGTGGATGGGGGTGGGGGTAGCGGTGGATGGGGGTGAGGGTATGGTCATCCCCAATACCTCACCCATCTCAGTACACCTCGAACCACCACCCCAGATGTGTGTAATGGTGAAGTTCCTGGGATTGATCTAAAATTGCATATATTCATTCAGTAGTGGAAAACACCTACCTGCTACCTCCAGAAGTTATGTTTCCCACATTCAGTAAAAATGTCTACTGACTTTACCTGAGTAACTGTTATGAATACTGGGACATGCATGTAAGTCCCAACAACCTTGGAGGGGGGAAAGTAAAGAGACTTTAGTACTAGATATAGGGGAGGGGGGTGGGGGCCTGCTGGAGCGTGGGTAAGGTGTGCGGTAATGCTTCATTTAACCAGATAAGTGTCAAACTCCAAAGAGGATATCCGCCCACGATGGCTCCTTCCCTGCCCAGTCATGCGCGACATGGAGGATTACTTACTATGTGCTGGTAAGCTCTGCAATGTGGTCCCCTATGCACTCCTCCTTGGAGGCGAGGCTTGAGGAGGGGAGAGATGAGGGTGGTAACTGGTTTGGGAGGGGGGAGATGATATGTTTACTTTGCTAACACCTCAATGCTTGGAATTTGTCTGTTGTGGTCATGGCTCACCTGCCAGCCTGTGGTGGTGGTGTTGACGGCATGCGGTGTGCCTTGCTATGTGGTTGGGGGGTGCGGGGGAGGGGGGAGAGCGTCATATGACCCCAGCAACTAATGCCCACACAGGTCACTCAAGTGTGGGACGCCAAAGGGTCCACATGGGCTGAGGCGGGAAAGGGTCCACATGGGCTGGGGCGGCAAAGGGTCCACGCAATGACCTCATGGAGGTACAATGCTCCTATGTGCTCTGCTGGTATGTGTTGAGAACCTCATGTCTATGTACACATTATATAATGTTTAGTATGCTCTGCTCTAGAAGCGAGCTAGAAGCAACCCACGTGAGAGAGTGAGGGGAGAGACCCACACTGTTTACAGAAAACCAGATACAGCTCATTCAGACGTCAACACAACCATGTCTGAAGTGTAACTAATCACCGTCATTGAACTCCACCGACAAAAACAGAATTGGGTGAGGAAGTTAAACGTTTCTTTTCCTTACATAAAACAAACATTCTTTAAGAAAAATAATGGCTCCCTCCACTAGCACACACAGACACCGCCTGCTCCCCTCCTTCTCTCCCTATGCCCATCTTAAGAGCCTGGTCTCCTACCCTCTCAGGGTAGGGGGCCCCTCCTTCCTCAACATATCCTCACCATGTAAGGGGGCCCCTCCCTCCTCTACATAACCTACATACTCGCATCTATCTTTCAATCAATCTATCTATCCTCACACAGGATTAACTCTACAGCACATACTCATACATATTCATCTAGTACTATTCCTCTCTTCTTCACCTCATCACTACTCTTCCTATACTTACCCACATGACCCACATACCGCTCCCTCCCCCCCCCCCCACTCCAAAATGACCCTCTGTCAAGTGCCGCGCGGCCGGACGCCGAGCGCCACACACCCGGGGAACCCCCCAGAACACTGTGCGACTAGCTACCTGTGCACTACCTGAGCGGGGGGGGGGGGGGCTAATGGACTCAACTGCTCAGGTACTGCGCACGGCTCTAGTCGCACTTTACGCTACTCACACGGTGCCCTTTAAAGATTATGAGACTATGATACTGCCTCTGTTTGTCCATTTAAATACTCTCCTTATAACCGGACCCTGGCCAAGAAGCCGCTGGACACTTGCAGACGGCCTGACAGCCCTAATTGAGTGTGCCCAACAATGTTACTCGATAACAATCAACATAACAGTCAAAGGCATTGAATATCCATCAATATACAACCTAAACATTTACTCCATATAGGAATATTTACGCACGAAATACTTCCACAAAAATATTACTTACGTTTGTCCTTTCACTGTGTCAGTCTGGCACTGACGCAGTGAGAGACTGCGTCAGTGGAAGAACGTAACAACACAATTCCACACAAACATGCATAAGGCTCCTTTAAAGACAAATTGTTATATGGAAACTTTATATTCTAAACAACAAATCTCTCCTGGTCACCTTTGCGACTCAGGATTTTATCAGCAAGGTTAAGCCATATTCTTGAAATATGTTTTTTTTCTGTTTTGTTTTCACTTTGATGGCTTTAGAATATCAATTTGGTTTTATACTTAAACCATAAAAAATATATTTGACTAAAGTCATATAGCATATCCACAAACAAATCCCTACAGGTTGCACATCCAGATGTACCTGTTTAATTCTGGTTCACATTCCACCTACCGTTACACAACTGACACAGCCACCTGTCCTCAGAGAGGTGGTGGTGCCCTGGAGGTAATCACTTCGAAACAATTAATAGTATTATTTACTCCCTATCCATATTTAGATTAAGTTAAAGGTTAAGGTTTGTTAGATTTAGCTACATTAATAAGGTGTCTTATTCTCAAACGTGTTATATATGAAATTTGAAAACTGAGTATCCTCCTAGAATTGCACTAACAGACAACGAAATTTTTCTGTTCGTTAAAAAAAAAAAATAAGCAAAGACTATTTTAAACCAACTATTTATTATACAATAAAGTTATAACTTGAGAATATTCTCTTTATGATAATGGTTTAATTGTCAGTTTACAAGCAGACTGTTATTAGAACTGTAATATGCTTTCAAATCACTAATATCTAAATAAATATCCAGGTGTAAAACTAGTGCTATTAAACACCTGATTATTTATCATTAGTCATTATCATGACTTTACCCTGAGGGCGGGTGGCTGATCAGTGGCATCTCTGAGGAGAGGCTGCACACAGTGATGCCACGTCACTGTCACTCACGGGCAATCTTGCCATGATTACTCAGATTTTCACTTGTGACTGTTCAGTGTGTACTTTACTCTTTGCTGTGAATTTGTGAACTTTACCCATAACCATATCATAAAATAATTGAAACCGTCATAGAGTAGCAGCCTTAGGTACAATAGTAAATGGGATGAGATTTTTCATTGGCTGAAAAATGCTGTTGATGGCTCAAACTCGGCATATTGTAAACTTTGTCACTGTAATATTGTTCCAAGAATAAGCAGCCTCTCAGACTATGAACAGTCCGAGAGGCACCATGTGAGAACTCCCTCTCAAGACCACACAACTTAAACGTTACAAGATCATCTTTGCACGACGGGATATTGTTGCCAGAACATAAAGAGAACAGGTAACACTCACCACCTCTGTGACTGGTTGAACACGTCCTCGGTGGCGTCCGCTTCTTACCTTACCTGCGGGGAATAAACACCAGGGATTATCAAGGAGAAGATGATGGGGTAAATATTGTGAATGCTGTGACAGAGCAAATGAAGGATAGATGTGGTTGTTGCTGTGGTCATTGAAACACTGTTCGAGAAAAGTACATACGTCATCATTTGAGAGTCGTGTGTACAGCGTTTTTCATTAATAAACGGCGTTTGGGGGCTGCATTAACGAACACTGTGTTGGTGAGGACGGGCTGTCGTGAAGCAGTGTAGAGGTGCGCAGTCCGTCCTCATCAACAAACACCAAATGCTCATTAATCCAGCCCGAAAACCACCTGTTTATGAATGGAAAGTGTTCACGTAACTTCATACTTGCTTCACACACTTTCACAATCAATTGGGAACAGAACATAAGCAACTAACCTGAGCCAAGTTTTACAGAACAATCCAATATATAGTAATATTAATATATACGAGAAAACCTGGTTTTTAATACCCAGAATCTTTATGTTGATGATGTGGCGGTTGGGGTCGGCCACCGCTTGGGCGAGCATAGCCTGAGGATGGTTGGGGTCGGCCACCGCTTGGGCGAGCATAGCCTGAGGATGGTTGGGGTCGGCCACCGCTTGGGCGAGCATAGCCTGAGGATGGTTGGGGTCGGCCATCGCTTGGGCGAGCATAGCCTGAGGATGGTTGGGGTCGGCCACCGCTTGGGCGAGCATAGCCTGAGGATGGTTGGGGTCGGCCACCGCTTGGGCGAGCATAGCCTGAGGATGGTTGGGGTCGGCCATCGCTTGGGCGAGCATAGCCTGAGGATGGTTGGGGTCGGCCACCGCTTGGGCGAGCATAGCCTGAGGATGGTTGGGGTCGGCCACCGCTTGGGCGAGCATAGCCTGAGGATGGTTGGGGTCGGCCACCGCTTGGGCGAGCATAGCCTGAGGATGGTTGGGGGTCAGCCACCGCTTGGGCGAGCATAGCTTGAGGATGGTTGGGGTCGGCCACCGCTTGGGCGAGCATAGCCTGAGGATGGTTGGAGTCGGCCACCGCTTGGGCGAGCATAGCCTGAGGATGGTTGGGGTCGGCCACCGCTTGGGCGAGCATAGCCTGAGGATGGTTGGGGTCGGCCATCGCTTGGGCGAGCATAGCCTGAGGATGGTTGGGGTCGGCCACCGCTTGGGCGAGCATAGCCTGAGGATGGTTGGAGTCGGCCACCGCTTGGACGAGCATAGCTTGAGGATGGTTGGAGTCGGCCACCGCTTGGGCGAGCATAGCCTGAGGATGGCTGGCCTCATCTTACTCACAGACTCAACAGCAGCAGTAAAATACTGCAGTTTATCATCAAAACAAAAGTTCCGCCGCGTTCACTTTGTATTTGTCAAATACTGACTGTT